AATCTGTGTATATGTATAGAAATGTATCGTAAAAATCGTACAAATCATATGTCAATTTGCATCGACAAATTATATTGCCTAATGTTACTACTTGTTATTGCTATGTATGTATATTAAATTTATATGCTTTTTGTATTTTCTACACTATTTAAACATTTTCTAAGTCGAAAATTGTAGTAACAAGACATACAAAACTAACAACATATAATTAATGTGGCAATCACAGTAAATTCAATTTACATATATTACCCCATTCTTTTGCTGTTCTATCGAGAAATGCTTTTCGATCTTTATTCCAGATAAACCGCAGAAAATTTTTGAAAGTACCTAAATCAGGCGCAGGTATTCGACTCTCGTAATAGCGATCATCGTGTAATATAACCATATTTCAAAATTGATATTAGAAAGTCGTGTCAGAAATTGAACAAAGGTTAATGTGCTATGTTTTGAAATTAGCTACATAAGTAGTTGGTATAGAAATGCATAGAAAATCTTTTATCAAATATTCGCGTCGTACCGAAGATCATTTTCATGAAGGATCTGGCCACAAAGTAGGGAAAGCAGGGTTTCCTTCCGTATTAGACATTAGACTGCTCAACACATACCCCAAAACCATCATTGCACAAGTTACATTTCTATCCACCCTTTCTGACATTAATATTAACTGACGAACAATGTAATCATTTGTCGGCGTCATAAGGACGTTCCTTACGTCCACCGGGACTGCTCGGGACCAGGACCAGGACTCGCGGACCCAGAGTGGGATATTTCATTTATTTAGACGGTCAAAATTATTTCTATTATTTGCTTGATTAAAAACACGGTTTTATTAGGACAATTCAAGAACAAAAAAATCATTCTAATACATTTCTTTAACGGTTTAATTGTTTTAATACAATAATGATCTGCAAAATTAAGCAAGAATATGATACGAAGACACGAAATATGTACCTCTATATACCTATACAACTAAATCTAACAAAAAACATATATTTTAATCACATTATAATACCTACATTTCGTCATCTGAAGATACTTCACTTTCATATGAAGAAGCGTTTCCTTCATCATCTATATCATTTGAGGTTCCACTTAATGATAGAAGCATTCCTAAAATTTCTTTTGTAAATAGTCTGGTATTTCGAATATTCCGTTAAGCCACTCGTGACTTTTTGAACAAAAATATCTGGTCTCTTACGTGCTACAACCCATCTACGTTTCATTTCGGACTCCACGTATGAAAATTTGTATTTAATTTCTAATATTTGATCCTGTATACATTTTTCACGGCTTAAAATGTAATTTCCAACCAAATTCAATTTTTCATTGAAACTCAGCCCTTTTGCTACCACGTTCTATTAAATACACCTTTTGGGGTCATTGTTCTATGTCCCAGGAATAGAATTGAAACATAAAAGAAAGAACAATCCCCACGGGATAAATATTCTTCGTAACCATTTATTGTTAAATCAATAATTATATAATAATTAACACGTTGAATGCCACGGAGGTCACCGGTGACCGGCACTTAACTTGGCGGTGACGCCATGGGGGCCACCGGTGACCGGCGCGCGAAATATATATAATATAATTTAAAACAAATGTCAATATCTAAAATTTGATATTATTACCATCGTCAATTCAAACGGTGATCCCTGTCGCAATTAATATGTCAAACATGGTTATACACTGTAACTTATCTATTGCAGATAATATTTCAACATTATATGTATCACATAAAAGAAAATTCATCGTGGCGCCACGGACAATTTCTGTAAAACCGGCGTGGCATTCAACGTGTTAATTAAAACAAAGTTAAAAGCTCTCTCTTACTGTTAAAAAAATGTAGACCGGGACGTACCCTGAAATATATTAAATTTCTTATAATAATAACAACATTGTCTATGTAAATGAAAATAAGATTATATTAGCTTTGTTGATATAAATGTAGTTTTGGTTGAAATATTTCAAATATATAGACATTTATCACCTTCACAATGATCTATGATAATCTGCGCTTTATAAAATTTTTTTCTGAGATACTGACATAACACTGACTACATAAATACGCGTCCGCTCCTCGTTATGATCAAATTTTAACTAGTCAAACACTATGTGAACGGCAAAGCAAAATGCATTTTTCAAATTTTGGTTAGAAGCTCAGATAAAAGAAAGACATCAATTTTTAATTTTGTCATTATCAAAATAACTTTTTAGCCATTATCTAGTTAACTAATCTCACTAAAATCTAAAAAAAATTTATATCACTTAGCCTAGTTATAAAAAAGTTATTTCGTTCGAAAAGTTATTAACCCTTTTAGTGCCGAACGACGATATATCGTCATTTGGTACACTAGCGAAAAGTGTCAACGACGATATATCGTTGCGCACGCGTTGGCGCCTTATTATACGCATCACAAGAGATCTGTATCTCAAAATAACTTTATAAAACGTTAAAATACTTCAAATTCGATGCAACCCAATTGAAAGAAAAATGTTTATTAGATCTTTTTGTTATATCTTATGCTGATCAGTGCCGAGGCTCTGTATACCTATGTCGGAGCGATGAGGTAGAAACGGGACACGGGATATCATATGTATACATATGTATACGATATACATATGTATAATTTCTTGGAACCGTAATCAACACGGCGTGTATCAACACGGCGAGACTAAGATCTTTCTTTCAGTCTTTATTGACCCTTCAAAAGAGCAATCAGTGTTCGAAAACCGTCAACATTTTGATAAAAATACAATTTGTATTTTTTTTTATTAAACATTACTGAAAATGAAGTACTTATATTTTATACCACTTGACCTATATAAAATTGATAAAACGCTGATTAGTTAAAATATTGTTTGTAAAAGAGAAACTTGTTTCCATGTTTTTTATTATTGTTTATATTGCTGTTATTCATATAATTTTCAATAAGTATTGAAATGCAATCGCCATTACATTACTCTCCCATTCTTCCCCTATATGCTGCGTTTTGAATTTTTTAAATGTTATTCTTAGTTTGGTTTTTATGGGCTTTTTCTTAAACCATAGTAAATTCGTTAAATTCGTCCGGTTATCTTCGCATAGATACCCGTTTTTCGTTCGGCACTAAAAGGGGTAAACTGGCTATATATCGTTTCTATAATCATGTACAGATCTCGAAAGAACACATAGATGTGTTCAATTCTTCTTTTAGAAATGTCCTCAATTTTGTTTGATTGTTTTGATGATTTTTGTATCCAATGTCTTTCCTGTCATTTTCCTTCCCTAAAATATTAAAATATAGAGTAAGTAGCACTTTTCAGTGCTAAACAGAACATTGATAGTGCTAAATTATTCAAAATAATTTTAACATAGTTTCAAATTAGGTAAACATAAAGAACTTTTAAGATATTTAAAAGTAGAAAATTTTTTTAAAAGTATGATTTATAAATACTTTAATTTGAAATAAATTAAACTTAAAAATACTTAATTTAAAAGTTGTATTCCCCCTACATTCGATTTTAGCATAGATTAGCATTTTAACTTTCGGGATAACGCCTAGGTCCGCTTTTATTGCGACCAACCTACCTCCTCTTAACGAGAGATAACGCTACAAGATTTGGCCTATATTTGGCATGGACAAAGCGTTGATGCCAAATCCATGCGATATACAGGGTGGTCCACCTAAATAAGGCCACCTAAATATCTCCTCTAATTTTGGGGGTACAAAAAATATTTTATATGCTATTTGGACGATTTGAAAAAACCATCGTATTGCAAAAATATTTTTTTCCAAGGTAATTTTTTCGGAGTTTACAAGGTCATCGATGTTTTCTGCGTATAATTGTATTTTTTTCTTTATTAAATCGTGCAGCTTATGTAAAAATATGTTTAGTTATGTACATTACATGACCTTGAAATGACCGAGGTAAAAAATTAAATGGAAACGACAAATTTTTGTCTATCGAGATTTTAAAGACGAAGACGTCGTTCGGGAATCTGTAAGTATAAATAAACATGTTTACTATCATGAAACCGCATCATGAAATTTGTAAGACATTTTTACGAACCTATTTTTTAAACTGTCATTTTAATAGATGTTCGAAATGATGCCCCTCCACATCGAGACATTTTTTAAAACGTAAAATAAGAGACTCTCTGGCCCTTTCAAATGTTGTGGGATTAATTGCAGCACAAGCTGTTATTATCCTATTGTTCATGTTCTCTGGCGTTGTTGGTTCTTCTCCAGAATAGACAATTTCTTTTAAATGTCCCCACAAGAAATAATCCATAGATCCGGTGACTGGGCTGGCCACGTTACACGTCCAGTACGTCCAATCCAACAATTTGGAAACAGTGTATCTAAAACTTGTCTTACAAGTCGTATTGAATGGGCCGGACAACCATCGTGCTGATACCACATTCTTCCACGAATGTCTAACGGTATATCATCTAAAAACATCTGTAGTTCATCCTGCAGGAATGTTACATACTTTTGCCCACTTAATGTTCCATTTATAAAATAAGTACCGATTATTTGATTACTCAAGATACCGCACCAGACATTTACGGTCCAAGGTCTCTGCCACTTATAGATTTCCGGACGACGTCTTCGTCTCTAAAATCTCGATAGACAAAAATTTGTTGTTTCCATTTAATTTTTGATCTCGAAGGTCATTTCAAGGTTACATCTGAACGTACTTTTACATCAGTTACACAATGCAATAAAAAAAAATACAATTATACGCAAAAAACATCGATGACCTTGAAAACTTCGAAAAAAATAACCTTAAAGAACATTTTTTTGCAATACGATGGTTTTTCCAAACCATTTAAATAGCATAACAAATTTTTTTTGTACCCCCGCAACTAGAGGAGATATTTAGGTGGACCACCCTGTATATACAGAAATAGATGGCTAATGGTTACATAATGTCAAATTTACCGGGATTATTTAAATTCGTGTTCGTATATGTTTACTTGTCTTTGCAATCATTTATGAGATGATGTTCATATTTTCACTGACTGAATACATAGTTATGTGCAATTGTGCAGACGTATGCAAAGAACTGTTATGTTCTTAACCTATCAAAGACATTTACGAAAAGTCTCTGTAATTGGGAACGAAAACGAACGTGATCGAATCATACTGATTCAAAACTAGCAGTTCTAATCATCACCATCGCTAGGCGAGTAACAAAACTGTGAGTCAGTACCTTGTAAAACAACTTTTTTAAAACTCGATTAAATGACTTCTATTTTTGTGGATGTTATAGAAACCAGTTTACTGAAATATTGTTTAAAATTGCAATTGAATGGAATGAAGTTTAAGTTTTCTTTATAGGCTCAGATAGAAAAATTTAAAAAAAAATTTTTAGTTCAGTTTTAAAAAGTACTGAGTACCGACTCAGTGTTGCTCCTCATTGTATATATTCTTCTAAAACAAATATATCTAGAATCAAGCAAGGAATCTATAAAGAATCCTGGAGAAATAGTTAATGTATTATATAAGCTCTAATTAAAAATTAATGTACTTTTCCCTACTTGGGGAAAATAAGGAACACATTACAACTATTGTCTAAAAATAAATATATTTCGAGTATTATATAGTTTATGTAATAAATATTTTTATTATTTTGAACAACCTGCTCTTGCTAATTTATCAGCCATTTCATTTCCATGAATTCCAACGTGCCCATTAACATGTTTCTGTAATATGGTTTCATGAATAGTTTAAAATACAAGATTAGTATAATGTATGCATAAATTAACTATAATATTGTTCATACCCAAGCTATTTTTAATGATTTCAGTGCCACCTCCATTTCTAATAATTCTAATTTATTTATAACTGGATCACCATTTGCAGTTTTCCATCCATTTTTCTTCCACTTTGGCATCCATTCAGTTATGCATTTGATCAAGAATTTCGAGTCTGTAATAATCTTTAGTTTTTCTATACCTGCTTCTTTTGCTTTTCTTGCAGCCATAGTCACAGCTTGAATCTCTGCATTATTATTAGTTGCTCTACCAACAACTGGTTGTGATACATTTCTATAATTATAATGAGGTAAAGTACTTCTGTAAATGCAAATGTATTTTAAAAAAATCTAACAAAACATACAAGGGATGATCTTGACCAAACCATACACCTAAACCTGCTTGTGCGTTCTTATAACCATTTGAAGAGCAAGCTCCGTCAGTGTATACATTGACATATCCATCATCATCAATAGTAAACTTTGAAGATGACGTCTGAAATATATTTTAGGATAAATACAAGTGCAATATTAGAACAATTATTATGTGCACAGTAGGCATTTACTTGTTCAGTGGATGTAGATGGAATATCGCTTATACCTATTAGTTTGATTTTCTTTCTAGGTAATTTCTCTTTGACATGTTTATCTATTGCAGGTAATGATCTAAGACAGTTAAATATTGAAATTATATTTTTGTTCTATTGATATTTCAACATCTACTGTACCTTTTTCTTGCTGAGATTATATTACCAAGAGTTTGTATATTTTTTGTCTCTTTTTTGGCAGAATTCACCTTTCCTTTTGCAGTACTTGTCTTTTCTCGAATAAAGCTTTCCGCTTCTTTTTGGGATGGAAATTTCTTAAATATAGCACCAGGATATTGGTGTACTTGAGCTTTACATTCATCCCTAATTGAAAAAAGATTATGTAAAATTTGTATAAAATAGGTTTAAAATAATATACAGTAATAATTAATGAGATGTAAAGGGAATAAAAATATATTACCAAGTACCATAAATACCAGGTTGATGACCTTTGGCAACTGCATAATATGCTGCTGGCATTTTTAGTGATTTCAGCAAATGACACACTTGTAATTATTGTTAATATTTGAATATGAAATTATTGTTGGATGCGCATATTAGTATTGTAAAGAACATAAATGCAGTAGTGTCAGTGGCTACGAAACATAAAATTAAAAACATTATAAGCAATTAAAAGAGCGATGGATAGAACTGTTTTGAATGATTCGCCAACATGGTTTGGCAATTAGCATGCTCTATATTGAAATGTTGCTGCTAGAGGCAGCACTTGTCATTAATAGCACTATCTTTAACTTTTCTTTTTGAATTTTATTATAATTTTCAATAATAAATAAACTATTTCAGTATGATATAGATGCATAAGAGTCTATTGAACATTTCCTTGATGATGATGTTTCAAATGCAGTAGAATTCCAATTTATCCAGCATATTGTACAAGAACTTAATTCTTTGAAACATTAAAATGTATCTGTATTGTATTCTTCATATTAAGTTAACGTATATAAAGATGATGTAACCAAAGTAATTATATCGGGGACACAGTAAACTGACGAAAGGTATTTTATTCTCTAACTAATAAGTGTAAAGAAATCTAAATGCATTAAGTGTAATGTCAATGTAAATAAATAGCTTTTCTCTAAACATTCGTATATTCATATTTTAATTATTTACTTTAGTTAAAATAAGTTTTAAGAAAATAATGAATCAAACACTTTTTACAGAATATTATCAATATCTCAACATCGAATTTAAATAAATTGTACAAAATTATAACCTCTAAAATATGTTATAATTTTACGATTTAATATTGTAAAAGATAAAATTTATAATGACCAAAATATTT